AATAATAAATAATAATTAAAAACATGTAATAAATTAATGATAAATTCGTCTAATAATAAAATTATACTTTATTATTACTGAATTATAATATTATAATGAAATTACATATTTATTACATAAAATCCTTAATTAAATATTATTATTAAAAAATTTCAGATCTCATTCTAGCTGATCACATCATGAACACACTATTATCTTCCTTTAGATTCATTTATAATCATAGTTTAATGCTTGATGCATTATAAATTTGATTATATTATATTTTCCCACCCATTATTCTTAATAAACTTTACTATAATTATCCTGATCAAGTAACTTATTATAACGTTATTAAGCATTCACCAACTCTCTCAAGAACTCATATAAAATGATAACAATACATAATTTCATAATTCTATTAGTCATTGTATTTTATATATTATATACTAAAAAGTTATAAAATCATATAAAATAATAATATTAATTTAGCTATAATTTCTGATAATTGACTTTAAAACTATAATTTTTGAATATATTAATAAATTAAAATAAATACAATTTTTTATTTATAGTTATTTTTTATTTATTGATTTTTTATTGCTTTTTTTTATTAATTATTAATTTTTTATAATTTAATTAAATGAATTAAAAATGTCTAAAAAAATATTAATACTGAATTAATTAAATAAATATTCAAGTTCTATTGCATATTATTTTTAAATAATAACAAATACATTTTTTTATTTATATAATTTTTTATTTAAAATTTGTTATTCAGTTTTTCAAATTAAAAAAGTGCAATTATAAAAAAGAATAATCTATAATTTGTTAATATATTTGTTTCATATAAAGCTTTATATAAATACATTTTAATTTTTATATTATCACAATAATAAATAGAGCTTTTGATTATTATAAATATATAAAAAATTTATTTATTACAAAGCTTCAGGTCATTTTTTTTAAAAAACATGTATTTTATAGAATCTAAAAAATTACCAATATTAATAATTTAAACAGATATTTTCTTGCAAACTCAATTACTGACCGAGTCATTGAAAGGGTTTTTATTCGACACATTCCGTACATATTAATTTAATCTTATGGTCGCAATTAGTTGTTTTTGATGATATTACAATTAAAAAATTGTAAGGTAAAAAAAAAGGTTAAAAAATGTTAATTCGTTGCCATGTAATCTTAACAAAGCCATGTGATTTCGGAAGAGAATAACTAGAAAAATAGTGATACTTTAATAATATTAAAGAGGACGTACAAGCTTTAAGAATAGAAACATAACACTACCTAGACAGCCCCGATATCAGTATTATACAAATCAATCATAACATAGTAATGATAAATAGATAGTAGTAATCATGATTGACCTTTAGTTTGCTTGGCGGGCAAAGTAGTAGTATTCGGAGGTGTTTCTGGAACTCCATTACGATTGTCAATGGAAACTTCTATAGCAACCGCATGACCGAGATCAATAATATTATTATTAGTGTCAATGGTAGCTCTTTTAATCCTTTTTTCAGTATACACACTAGACCATTCACCTCTTCCTGTAGTATTCACACTTGATGTTTGTTCATTCGGCGAATCAGGCCTCGCGACCCGGGGCTTTGATGTTCTAGACTTTGATGATGTGGATGCCTTTATCTTAACACAAAAATTTAATTAGCACGGGTTTCAAAAAAAAACAAACTAATGTATAAATGGCAAATTTTTATTAAACTGATGCTTACATTTCCTTCCGATGTGTTATTGTGAGTTTCCCCTTCGTGGTTATTTTGATTTATTCGTTTTTCAACGTTTTCACGATGAATCCGATTTTTCAGGTGGATTTCAAAATTGTTTAATGTTAAATCGGGACCTGGTTGGTAGAGTCTTCCAGGGCAATCAGAACATCTTATACGGAATTCATTAGGCTTGTTCGATCTCTGTGTGATGTCGAATCTATCACGTGGATATTTCCGCGCAAGTAAATCTCGCTGTAAAACAATCCACTCAGGATAAGCCTGACAGTTATCAATATTGTGAGTGTAGAACAATGCAACTTTTAACCTCGATATCTTCAAGAAAGTCAAAATTAATAAACTATTACCGTTTTTGATGATGATTGCTTTGTTGGATTTGGGGGCGAAGCTGGTATTGAGCGTGAACTTGAACTAGCACCAGACGTCGAATGGCTTGACTTTGTAGTTGACTGCAAAGATCCGGATGAATTATGAGAAACAGAAGTAGATGTAGGAAGTGTTACATGAGCACTTGTCTTTCGACGAGTCGATTTTGAAGGGCTACTCTTTGAGGTTTTATTAGATAAAGTATCAGAAGAGACTTTATGTGAAGATGCTGTAGTAACATTTCGGTTAGACATATTTGATGAACTACTATCATCCGGATTTTCATTATTTGATGTGGATATTTTAGAATCTTCCTGCATTTCGTCCGACATAGATTCCAAATTCGAAATTGATGTCTTGTTAGATATTCTAGTAGGTTTGGGATGAGCGATCGAAGAGGAATCCGCAGACAATGATGATGCCCTTGTCGGACTGCCTTCTTGTGATGTTGAGGTAACCATCTGCATATCACCGGCTGTTGTACGTCTGAGTGTGTTATTCTTTTGAAAGTAGAGGCCTGAAAAGCAAATTTATTAATAAAATATAAATTTCTTTAAGCTCTTACGAATAATTGGTTTACGACTTACCACACGCATTGCAAAGCGTCTGTATGAATACAAATTCAAAGAATGTTAATTCATTAGTTGACTGATATTCGATAAGCAATAAATTATACGAATATTTACCTTTTCTCCACTAGGACCTTTACGTAATAGCGGAGTTTGCGAGGAAGGACATCCACAATTGAAACACGCCCATTCTTCACTTGTTTTACCTATAGTTATTATGAAACATTAACAAAAAGTCTTGGACTAAATTCCTTACATAAATAAATGAATATGAGGTATGGCAGGCAGCAATCGACCCAACAAGCTAGTATTAAGCTCTCCTTATAGAATTAAATTAGCAGGTAATTTAATTGGTCAGTTGCCGATATTCCTTACACATCACGCATATGATCGAGCAAAATTCGCCAGCTGCCAGCTGACAGCCACGATGCTCTAATAGTTTTGAGCGATTACCTGCTGCTGGACGTCGATATTGCCTTTTCGTTGATTCTTTTGATTCTTTTATTGTCGTGCTCGAACTTGCTGATCCTGATCTTCGATTCGTATAAGAATCTGGCATATCTGCAGACATAGCACCTCGTAAGCTACTGCCTCCCGCAGCTGCTGTGCGGCCACGACCTCTTAATTTTCCAGGTGCGGGTGTTGCCGGTTTCTCAGATATGGCCGAGTAATTATCATAGCCCATAGAGCTTGCTTTACGTTGAACCGGGGGCATTCCCGATGCAATTACTGTAATGTAGCCAGTTTCGTCTGCGGGATCAGGAATAAGCATGGTATTATGTAATAAGGTTCTGTGAGTTTTGGGAGGCTCTCTATCTGGAAGAATAACTCCTCTTCTTCCTCGAGTTTGACGTCGTTTACGTCTAATTTTAAAAAAATGAATTAAATAATAAAGTCAAATAAACTTGCTGAATATTTTTACGGGTAAGCAATCAACTTCTATTGGGACAAAGATTTACCTCGCATCTCGTTCCCTATCTTTTTCAATCTTATCGATTTCAGCCTCGGTCAGTTCAACCAAGATCGGTGTATGTTGATCGACTTGTTCTTCTTTCCTCACTACAGATGATAACGCCGGCAAGAAATTCTGTCGAAGATCATCATCTTGCACATTCGAGCCGTCGAAAGGATGACCCACTAGAATTAACGATTTAACATAAATTTGAACTTGTTCGCGTATGGAATGCGCAATCGCGGTTCTTTTTTGATGTTAAAAAATCTTATTAAATAGAGTAACAGGGTTCTGATAATTGAAAAGAGAAACATACTTGAATTCACCACCCAGACCCAGCTCAGTCGTCAATATTTCGGAAAAAAATTCTGGATCATTTTTTTGGCAATTAATGTCCCATTCAAACTGATCCACCAAGGATATATTACCCACAGTGACATCGAGCTAAACAAACAACAATTGTTTAATGTCTGCTCAGAAACTTTATATTTACTCGAGAACCAAATTAAAATACCTTAATTAGAATTCTTAATTCTCCATCATCACCAAATTGATCGCGAACAACTTCTTCTGGGGTGTCAATATCCATTTCATTAATATTTTCGCCACTATTTGAATTCTTTAACTTATCAATTATCTTTAAAAAAGATGATGATGACCCGTTGCTATTTATTTCATTTTGTGCTAAGGGTGGCAATGAAGATGCTGTTATTGCAGGATGCAAATAAAATCCTTGTATTTGTTCATGAATTTGTTTTGCAATTGCCGGCACAAATGATGCACTTGGAAAATGCATGTCATCGCAGAGAACTTCTGCAAAATGTTCAGGTGTTATGATGGTCTCTATATAATAGCGAATATAAGTTCCATTTTAGATAGTGATAATAATAATAGTAATACAGTCAGACCTCCCTAAGTGCACGTTCTATAAATGCACGGATTATATAAATTCTCTCTAAATGCACGGTATAGCTTGGTCCCAGCTTATAAGAACTCTATGCATTTTGCTCTCTATAAATGCACACCCTCTCTAAATGCACTTTTTATATTTTTTTCACTATGGTCCCGAGGGGGGTGCACTTAGGGAGGTCTGACTGTACTAATAATTATGCCAAGTTTGTCAGATGAATGTAGAATCACGTGGGATCCCTAGTAAATTGAAGTAGATAAGTCTACCATTCATGTTCCAGGTAAAAGTGTCCCGTAACTTATATCCGTCCAAATCAATTTCTAATCTGATAGGCACTAATGAATCTTCTTTATATGATATTTCTTCTAGCTGTTTTCCAGAACTTACAGAGAAAAAATAATTAGAAAATATGAAATCTTTACATTTCAAATTAAATTAAATAACCTACAACGAAAATTCTCTGGTTTTTTTAAATCTTTTTCGATCATGAGGATAAATTATTCGAAATTTATTTCCTGTTGTCCCATTTCCATACCCATCATAACCTGGACCGAAAACTGATGAAGCACTACGTGCATTTGTTTTTCTCTCATTATGCGCAATTTCCATCTCCCTTCGTTTCTCTGTGATTAATGCCATTTGTCTTCGATGTTGAAGATCCAATGCTCTCTGATAAAGGGCATCTCTTTTAATAAAAGTTTCAAGATTATTCTTTTGTATGGAATTAAGTTCAGGTGCTGGTTCATAGGGTTTCGGATTTTGTCTTCGATGCACATCTTGTAAAGTTTGATGTGAAGAAGATTGTTGTTGATGTGTCTGTTGTATTGGAGTATAATTTTGTTGTTGTCTTTTGATGATTTGCGGTGTTTGTAATAAACGGCGTTGTTGTGGAGTTGCAATAGCCATCTGCGGCAGCGGCGGCTGCTGTTGCTGATGTGAAAATTGTTGCGGGTGTTGCAAGTGCCTTTGCTGTTGTTTCTGCTGCTGCTCTTGCAGTGATGTAATTGGTTGTCGAGGTGAGTTAAATTGACTTAAATGCTGAGGTATACGAATTATCCCTTGTTGTTGTTGTTGTTGCTGCTGTTGCTGTTGCTGTTGCTGTTGCTGTTGCTGTTGCTGTTGCTGTTGCTGATAAACATCTATACCAGGCCCATTGACACTATTTTGAGATTGAAAACCAACGTTACTAACAGTATTTATATTAGGATTATAAACGGATTTTTCAAAAGTAGAAATCGGTGGGATCGCAGAGTTTGAAGCTGTCGGTATAGGTTGGCGACCTTGAAAAACGTTAGAGTTCACCATCATATTGTTGCCTGCACCTAGCTGCTGTAACGCGTAGTTTCCAATTTGTGTAAAGTTGCGTTCTATGACAGTTTGTTGTTGTTGCTGCTGCTGCTGTTGCTGTTGCTGCTGTTGCTGCTGTTGTGGCAAGTTTGAATTCATTGCACGGGGATCTTGCATGTTCGAGTTTCCAAAGTTCGTTAAATTATCCATATTTTACTTTCTTTAGATGAGCAATAATGTTATTATCGTTATGGAATAATCTAATTGATCGTCATCGAGATAATGACAGACGTTAATGTTATACTGATATCCGCGAACCAAAGTATATAAAATTTTCCCCACTGTTATGATACATGTAGATAAAAATATCACAGATGTTTCTTGCTGCATTTACAAGGTCAAACAAACGCTTAAGAGCGTAGATATGCTGTGGTTTTTCAAAAGTAGAATGGGTAAGTATTTTTATTATTTAAAACAACATATATAATATCATAACACCAGATCAAGGATTGCTGGTAATACAATAAAAAAGTTTATTGTCTATCAAATTTTACTAGAAAAATTTTGTGGATTTTTGTTAGCAATACCAAAATCAAACTCATGATAATTTGATTGAATACAATTTTTTATACTTTCTAGAAATAGTCTATATGAATTAATAGATTACTTGTATATTAACAAGTACTATTAGATATTTAATAGTTAGTTTTATTCTTTAAACTCTTCAACAAAAAAGTTAACAAATCTTACAAATAATTGAATTTCTTTATAAAATTCTTAAATTTATTAGTATAATAGCAATAAATAAATTGATCAATATTGTTTGCTATAATTGTTCTTCAATATATCTGATATTAAAGTCAGTATTATTTTTATAAGCTCATTTTGATATTTTATCTTTATCTTCATTATTATAGATTTTGATGATAAAATTGGCATTTTTGATTTCAATGTTATCACAGATGATTATTATTTTATTTGAATTGTATTACTTTCTATTTAATTAATTTTGTTTTGAATTTTTTTGTATAGTTGGTAAATTTCATTGAGTGTGTCTTATAAATTAATAATGTCAAATATTTGAAGAAGTGTAACTTTAATATTTCTGATTGTTTTCAGTAATTTATCTGATTTAGTAATATATTAATTAATTTCTTGAATGGATTCTTTTTCTTTAGTTATCAGATATATGAATATTTTGTCTTTGTTGATTTTCATAAATGATTAATCAGTAACTGCTTGATTTCATCAGGAAATTTTTATATCCGATTATAATCGATTATTATCCAATAATCGATTATCATCGATTGTTAATAATCAATTATAATCGATTGCAATCAGATATAATCGATGATTATTAAAATCGAATATAACCGATTTTTTGTTTAGAATCGGTG